ACGGGAGAGAGAGAGAGAGGTTAGGGGGAAACACGGAGAGAGAGAGGTTTGGGGAAACAAGGGAAGAGAGAGTGAGAGAGAGATTTGGGGGAAACACGTGTATGGGGAGAGAGAGGTTTGAGGAGATTCATGGGGAGAGAAAGAGAGAGAGAGGTTTGGGGAGAAACATAGGAAGAGAGAGAAAGAAGGGGGTTTAGAAAAGCATAGAAAAAATGATGTCTTTTTAACACTTGTTTGGGCTAAACATATGGGTTAAAGTGGTTAAAGTTTGTCTAGGGTGTTAAAAGATATAATACATGGGATCTCTATGACGCCAGATATGTTTTGAATGAGAAATGAAATCTAAAAATAGGGTATACTGAGATATTTTCCCTACATTATATTTTGATTCATAATACATGGGAAATAAGGTGTTGGAACCTAGAGATATGGTGCAATAAATGTCCGGAATGGTTAAAGGAGTTATTTTGTGTTGTTCTGCATAATCTTTCAGCTGCAAGACATCGCTCTCTTGATGGACTATCTGTTGCATTGTGGTTTTGAGTTCATGGATTTAAACTAAATCAGTGTTTCGCGACTCAGCTGAGGTCACTCGAACTCGGCCTAGTTACTCAGCCTCGCCATATGGGCAAGGCGAGTTTTTCCCAAGTTGGCTCTACATCATGTAGGTCTTTGTTATATATATAATATGTCAACTTTAATGCAAAAAATGTTCAAATTGTTTGAGTAGCCTGTATTCCTCTTCCTTGTTATGTTGTGGGTCCATTCCCCCTGTGAACACTGCCTCATGTATTTCTTTATAAGTAGGCCTTATTTTTTTACAAGTTAAAAAAAAAATTCCAGAAGCTCATGTTTGGGGATCGAGCTCGATACCTCATGTAGGTCTTTGTTATGTATATAATATGTCAACTTTAATGCAAAAAATGTTCAAAGTGTTTGAATAGCATGTATTGCTCTTCCTTGTTATGTTGTGGGTCTATTCCCCCTGTGAACACTGCCTGATGTATTTCTTTATAAGTAGGCCTTATTTTGTTACAAGTTAAAAAAAATAATTCCAGAAGCTCATGTTTGGGGATCGAGCTCGATACCTCTCGGGTTGAGAGGCACCCGAGGACGGTAAATATAACCAGTACCCCACTTTGTGTTTTATATAAATACATTGTAGATCATGTAATATATATTATTTTTTGGCCTTTATTTTTATTTTTTTTAACTTGGCTTGGATTTCGGGCAAGTTACTCGGACTCGCCCAACTAACTCGCCTTGGCCAAGGTAGCCAAGGGCCAAGTACCTTCGTCACACTGAACTAAATGGTAGAAACCTCCATTTCCATACCATCTCCTCTACCCTATCATCCTGACTTTCTTCCTTGAAAGCTCATGGAAAATGATTGTTAGCTCCAAAGATCATGTTGTTTTGATCATCTTCCGCTTTAGGTTTTATGTGCTTTCTTTTGGGTCTCAAGGCTTTAATTTTGGATTAGGTAGGATCCTCTTGATGTGTTGTTCTTGCATGATACCGATAGCATTCTAATCAATGTAATTAACCTCTACTGATAAACTGGCCCAGTTTCATTCTGGTTTGTATATTTGTTGTATCTATCCAAACACATTTATTGTGATGCTATTCAAATTATTTTTACTCAACAATGTTGAATATCGGAAAAAATAGTAGACATCATTCCCTCTGTAATTTTAAAGTACACTATCAACCATTTTACAGGTGACTTTTGACCTTATTATAAATGATTTCTTTGGTTTGAATAATCATCTCAGTTTATCTATTTATTCACAGACCTTTTTTCAAATAAATATGAAACAGTGCATTTCAAATTGCCCATGATTTGGATGGATCAGTAATATGTGTCATTTAGGATAGCATTCTTCTTGTAGCTCTATTCAATCTTTAGACACGACCAGAGATCAAAGCTGCAAATGCAAGGATGTTGGGGGGTGGAGGGCCATTATCAGTTGCCATCTTTAAAAGCAACACGTGTTTGTGTAATGGAGGCGGCATTTGATACTGGATAGACACGTGGATTGGTGAATGCACTGTCTGCAAGAAGTTTCCTGATTTGTATGCCCTTTGTGACCCTCCCAAATGCAATGATACAAGATGTGGCCGTAGGACGGGCTTCAGAGTTTACTGGTTTAGTGGAGATACTGCATGGAAGCCGAGAGATCATGAGCTATCAACATCATTTTGTTATGCAAGGGCCTTCTCAAGTTCTATGTTCATTTTATGGAGACTCTCTTGCTTGGGAACCAGAGACCCAATTCTCTGTTAAGTTTTGTTATGCTTTGCTTGCAGGTTAGGGACTATTAAACTTAGCAGCCCACAGTATGTTCCATTCCAGGATCACACAACATTCAAGCCTTTTCATGGCTGGCTTTGTAATGTGTTGAACAAGGTGCTCACAATCGACAATCTCAGGCACAGGGGACTGCCCATACCCAATGCGTCTCTTCTGCAAACAAGAGTGGTAGTCTGAGTGATTTATTTATGCACAGTGTGTATGCTACGGACTTGTGGTCTTGCGTCCTTGAAATGCTTGAATTACAATGCGTAATGCTTGCTACTGTCAACTCTCTATTCACCCAATGGAGCTCAACCCTGCTCCTAAAAAATGGGGCTTCTGCTATGGAGGCTTGCCACTCTAGCCACTATATGGCCCATTTGGTTAAAGAGATAGTATGGCTTCTAGGGACAATCAATCAAATGAACATTCTCTAAACCAGTGTTGGAAACCACTACTGGGACCGAGTCCGAGAAACTTGGCCCAAGTAGTGCCGAGTACTGTAGCAATGAAAAAACAGTTAAAAAAATCAACTTGGGACTGGGGGTATATTTGAAAAAAAATTGGAAAATATAAAAATAAATATTTATGGCCAAAACACCTTCCAATCTTTTGCAAAAATGATTGAAAACATTAAAAACATATCCTAAATAAATTCCTTATTTTTTGGGATATTTTGGATTTTTTTTAATATCCCTGAGTTGGACACCCACTTCGGGCTCGGCAAGGGCCTGTGCCCTAGTAAAACCGACTTTGTAAACACTGCTCTAAACAAAAGGTAAGATCAGACGCACAATTTTGTCTTAGGTTAAATCTAGACCAACTCTGTTGGGTATTCTGTTGCAGATATTCAAGTCCATTTTAGAAGGATTCCCTATAACCACCTACCAAAGAGTTTCCTTTAGAAGGTGTTATTAAGCTCAACATCGGTAGCAGCTCTCGAGGGATCTACAGATTGGCAGGAGTGGGAACACTCATTAGAGATTGTAAAGTGAAGATTTTTTTATGCTTATTTGGCCCTCTTCTTGTTCGTCGCTCTACTAATGTGGGAGCCAGGTCTTTGCTGCCCGGAGTTCAGTTGCTAGATGGGACCCATGGATGTTTTGTTATGGAAGGAGGTTTCTAGAGCGTTTCTCAATGAGCCACTGCAATTGGTAAGTAAACTCGTCTTTGGCACCTCAGGATGGTATTCAACGAGATATGGTATATTCCTGTTGTTCTACATTCTTGCAGGGAGACCAATATAGAGGCAAATGCACTAGGCACTCGCCAAAGAAGGGGTTGTCACAACTTTTGATTCTTTTTAAAGTCTAATGTAACTAGACTTAATTTGTAAATGACTGGATATGCACACCCATACATTATTTCTAACGACTACAGAAAGAAACACACACATTTCACCAAGGACTTCTCCTAAAGGGCAAGCATTTTGTGGTTCATGCAACAAGTAAACTGGAACCTCAACCACTCATTCTAAGATCTGTCAACACTTACAATGGATGGTTGACAGGAGCCGTTCCTGTACTCTTGTTCATCAATATCAAATTGAGTGGACGAATGCTTCATTTAAACTATTAATTGCTGATGATTAATACGTGAGATGACGTGCAACACACAATTTGGGAGGAAAGTGTTTCAGGAAGCTGTTGTTATATGATCCAGGGCATCAAACAACCATCGTGGAGATGAACACAAAACACCTTCCGACTACCTGGAAAAGCATTTTTTCTTGTAAATGTAGAATTTGGAGCTCAAAAAATGGTGCAAATCTCATGGATCTAAGAAACATGAAACGGATGGTTTAAAAGAAGTGTTGCAAGATAGATCATTTTAGAGCACTTCGAATATTTTTATTCTTCTTGAAGGACCTGGCGGCTTTTCTTAGGAACTTCAGTTTTTACAGTGTTTTTTTTGGGTTCCCTGTGGGGTTACCTTGTCCAGGTGTTTTTGCTTCTGGCCCTGATTTGGGGGGCCTCTCTCTTGTACCTTTGCGGTTATATTAATAAAATGTTAACAGTTTCAAAAAAAAAAAAAAACCTTTTTATTCTTCTCTTGCAGGTCCATGATCTTGGAGGGGTCAGATGAAAGTTTTCAAGAGTTCTTTTTTAGCTGGTTTTGTGGTGCCACCTTGTGCAACTTTGGCTGCACGACTGCCTCAACCCTATATGTATCTTGTATTATCACATAAAATGCGACGCCTGGAGCACTGTTTTCTCTGGGAAAATGACTCACTCAAGCAGCCAAAGAGTCCCACTTACTGTGTAGTCAATTGATGAGGTCTATTGCTTTATTTATTTATTTAGTTTTTTTGGTTGAACCCTCAATGGTCAACTGGTGAGGGTATGTTTTTTCTTTCTTTGCTCCCTCCCTCTTTGCATCTCCCTCTCTATTTGCTACTTCTCTCGCTCATCTCTCTATTAGGCAGGGTAAGCCAGTTTGTATACTTTTTAGGAATGTATTTGTATACATGTATAGACCAGCCAGTACTTAAAATCTCGAGTTCATCAAACTTTCAATTGCCCATGTCTGCAGGGATCCATGGGTGGGTTACTGGGCCTATTTTCACCCGAATTGGGGCGAGTTGCCTAGTATTCATGTTTCAAGTAAAAAGAGAGTAAAAAAATAGAGTTTTAACCCATATTTGAACTTTTTTGTTTCAATTATTTGTTGGATGCTATGATCAGCCTCATTTTGACTGATTGTAGCACCAATCGACCCCTATTAGCTCATATCATAATGCTATTGGTTCAATATTGGCTTTGGACGAGACTTTTTTCACAAAAACTCAACTTTTTTTTAAAGCCTTAATCTGCCATTACAAGTTCTCTCCCAATTTTAAGCTCAATGCTATGAAATTGTTTCAATTTGTTTGTCTTTGAGCATTTATTGAATCCCTAGATCAATTTGTTTGGTAAAAATGCAAAATACAAAAATCTTAACAAATTCGATTCAAAACGTAAAATCTTGAAAATTGATTTTTGGTGACTTTTTTGTCATTTTTCTGCCATTTTATTTCCACAGTTATTTGGATTTAATTTTTTTACTATGAATTATACCCCGTACAATATGGAATCAACTTCTTTTTTTTTTTTGATCAAGTGTGATGAATTCATTAAGATAATGAAATGTTACAACAATGGAAAACAAAGTACAAGAAAAGAAAAGAAAACAAAGTACAAGAAAAGAAAAGAAAATAGAAAGAAAGAAGGAACAAAGAAAATGCTAGAGCCATAGACATCAGACAAGGTCAAGATGTTTGCTGGCAGGTCCGCCTCTGTATTGAAGCTACGGTTAACATGAAGAAAGGAAGTGCTGCATCCATTAAGTAGAACGAGGATCTCGTCCACAACAGCATTAAGCCTCCATGGTGTGATCTTCGACATCAAGCACCACCTGATAACATTCGCAGAATCTCCTTTGATAATGATGTGTCGGTGCAACTGATCAATCCTAGACACTCCCATCTTTAAAGCCCAGAGCTCCTCTCCATTAATTTGACAAAGATGAATCCTACCAAAATAGGACCAAATCGTATCTACACGATGATCCCGGAGTGAGCCCCATAACCAAGAGACCTGCTTAATGCTTCCGTTCTTCTTAAATAACAGGAGTTTTCTAAAGTAGAAGAGTTTTGCCACATAGGAGCAATGAATAAAGATGTGATCAATAGACTCTTCGTCCTCCTTGTAGAGAAGGCAAACATTGGTGAGGACTATTCCCCTCCTTCGTAGTTGATCCACGGTGAGCAGTCTTTTAAATGCACAAAACCAAAAAAAGATTGCAATTCCTGAATTTGGTCAAATAAGGTCTAACCTCAAAGTATCTGTCCCTGCTTACCGCATCATACCAAGGTCGAAGTGAAAACACTCCATTCGGCTCCAAACTCCAAATGATTTTCATTGGCTTTGTAGGGTGATAGCATAATCTATACAGAGTTGACAACAACGCAACATACTGGTCTACAACATGGTGGTTCACTCTTCTCATATTGAGGACAGCATTCCAGATATGTCTACCTCCCACGAGATAGATCATGTTAGAATCAATTCCTATTTGTGCGTAGACCTCCTATATACTTCAAGATAAACCAACCTCAAAGGACACTCACCCAGCCATTTTGCACGTCAGAATCTAGTTGAGTATCCATTGAGAGTGGATACAAAGACTAGAGCAAATTTTCGAGCTGAAAAACAAAACAAAATGGACACTTTCAATGAGCCACTTGCTAAAAAACAAACTAAGTGAATAAGTTACAATCCTTTAAATAACAATTACAACAATTTCTAGCCTTGTATAGCTACAATAAATAAAATCAAATACCAACCCCTTATGGGGCAATTACATATAGAGCAAGACTAGCTTACGAATTAAACTTTCATAGCACAAATTACATAAACTATGTCCCAACGTTTAAATACATGCAACTAATCTAAAAAAAAATCTAAAGAATAAAATCAACTAAACAGGGAATTAGAATGCCAAATTAAAATAGGGAAGTCATGTTTCGAACCCCTTGTAATGGGGCCACGCAATCGGGCTCTATAAGGACTTAATTTTATCCATTCTGATTGTACAAAAGTGGTTCAATCTCACAAAAGTGTTTAATCCAAATGGGAAGAAATTATACACCTTAAAATCACTTTTTAAGATCTCAACACACTGGCATTATCATCTAAAACAGAATGTAAAAGGTTTGAATCAAATCGGATAAAGAACAAGAGAGTTATAGCCAAATTACACATGGTGGTCCCTCGGACTACCAAAACAGTATTGTATTGAAAGATTATGAACCCCCATAGGTAAAAACATGATGAAAAAGTTTTGAAAATTTAGTGACACTTTGAGGCTAAATTATTTGATGAATTTGAAGCAAAGTAATTAATGGATACTACGCATGATATTGGATTCTCATGCATATAGGCTATAGCTCATGAAGGACCACACTATGAATGAGCACGATGAAAAAGATGATCAAATGGGAATTCTATGATCAATGAAACTTTTCTAAATTTAAAACTCCAGCAACTATAGATGCCAATAATATGATTTTATGAGAAAAGAAAATTCAATGGAGTTTACCTTAATAAATGCACATTATGGACTTAAGCAAAAGAAATGAGGACCACCATCAAGATCACCATTAATGGAACTCTAAAAACTCTCACTCTTCAATTTTCTCTCACAAAACCTTAAAAGAAGGAGAGGAGCAACAATTTTCCAAAATAGTTCAAAAGTTGAGATAGTTAGGGTTTGAGATCTTATGATGTGCTTTTATAACATGAGTGTAACCTTAGACTCAATCAACACCCTTGATGCACTAATCCAAAGGCACATGAGAGGCTAATGTACCTAGCCAGCCATCTCCATCTAACCACTAGGATGAAGGGATGAGATTTCACACCATTATCACTCACCATAACCCTAAGTTATGCCACTTTACCATTTTATCTTTGGCCCACATTTTTGTTCCAATTGTATCCAATATGGCCTTACAAAAATACCCTTAGTTTTTTTATTAATGTATTAGAGTAGATAACCACAAAGGATAAAGGGCAAAGAAGTAATAAGTAAAACTCACACATGTGGAGATATTCTACTTTATCAAAGT